CGGTAGCCGTTTGCTTTCCCCGGCCGAGAGGAGATACTCCACCCATGAGAAGGAGTGCCTCGCGGTGGTCTGGGGATGCGAAAAATACCGGACATACTTGGAACACAAAGAGTTTTGTCTACAAACGGACAACCAAGCTCTAGCCTGGCTGCTATGGCACGCTAAAGAATTGGGCCGTATAGGGCGGTGGGTTTTGCGTCTTGCACCGTTCAAATTCCAAGTCTATCACGTCAGTGGTAAATCTAATGTTGTGGCCGACTGCCTTACCCGACAGTACGAAGACCTCCCGAGTGACCCCACTTTTACGGGTTTGGTCTTACAATACCTGCCCAAGGCGTTCCGATCAGTCCGCGAATATCAAAAGAAGGACTCTTTTTGTAAGGACATATATACGAAAGTTGCCCGGAACGACTCTGTGGCTAAGCAATTCAAGTTGCTTAACGGGGCTCTTGTGTATCATCCTTCTCGGTCCAGCGCTAAGCGCTACGTCCTTCCAGAGGCACTAAGGCCCATGGTACTTGAGTATTTCCACGGGTCTACGCTGAGTGCGCATTTGGGGGTAAACAAAACACTTATCCGAATCGCAAAGGTCTTTTACTGGCCGAATATGAAGTCGCAAATCTGCAAGTTCGTCAGGGTCTGTCAGGACTGTCAGAGGGCCAAGCCCAAGATTCTAGGGTGGGTTTCCATAGCAGCGAAATTGTGACGAGGCCCCTAGAATGGATATTTATTGATTTTCTTGGGCCGACTGTCAGGAGTCGGAGGGGGAACGTAGCCATATTGGTGGTGTTAGATGGGTTTTCACAGTTTGTGTCTATGTATCCAGTGAGGAAAATTTCGTCCAAAGTAGTGGAAAACTGCCTCGTGGAGAAATTCTTCCCCACTTTCGGCGTCCCCCAGGCTATCGTTTCCGACAATGCTGCGGTCTTCAAGTCGCGGCAGTTCTACACTCTGTGCTTCTCTTGGGGCATTCGCCACATCATGACTTCACCTTATTACCCTTAAGCTTCCCAGGTTGAGCGGTTTAATCGGAATTTGAAGGCTGCCCTGATCATTTATCACCACCATCAACACACTCGGGACGAAAATCTGCCTTCGTTGGCCATTGCCTTTAACACTGCGTGGCACGAGTCGACGGGAGCGACTCCGGCTTCCCTATTTTTGGGGAGGGAGATGAACCATCCCCTGGGCCTTAAATGGGAATTTCGTGAGCTGGAGCTCCAGCGGGACCCCAAGATTATGAGCGAATACTGGGAGGCTGCCCTCGCTAATTTGAGGAAAGCTCGGGCTAGGGTGTCAGCCAGGTACAATGCAGGGAGAAGGCCGGGAGAGTTTCGCGTGGGGGACTCGGTTTTAGTTCAATTGCATCCGCTGAGTTCTAAGTCATGCCAGAGCTCCGACAAGCTCAATCTCACATGGTTGGTACCTCTCATCATTACTAAGTTTGTATCGCCGGTGACGGTTCTTCTGGCCAACCCTGAAACTGGGGTTATCATAAGAAAAGCCAACGTATCTCAACTCAAGCTATATATTTTGGCGGGGTAGTTATATCCTGCTTGGTATGTGGAATCGTTATGTATTCGGGGTGTACATGTCAATTATATATTATACATATGTGTTGATTATGGTGTATGTTCAAGCTGGAGGCTTGGCCCTGTCCTCCTTAACCTTTATCCTTCTCGTAGCCGTGTCTTCGGGAAGTGCGGGACCCCCCCGCCTTTTAAAGGGCTCATCAGCGTCGAACGGCATATGCCGCCCAGCTGCGATGTTTCTCTTTAGCTTGCCTGCTCCCGGCCAGTGCTCTGGATGGGCCCTATTTCCGATGGTGCTGGGAGTAGTTTACTCTGGTTGCCGAGCAGCGCCAGGGTACGTCTGCATTGGGGACTGTCAATGCACGGTGGACAGCGAACTTAGTGATTTCGGCTGCCGTGTGTATCGCTATGAGACTGCGGTGCGGAAGGTGGGGGTAGTGACCCTGGAACTCCCTATGGGCTGTGTGGAACCCGGGAGTGATGTATGGACGTAGCGAGGGCGACCGTGGCAATGGACTGTTGTATGTGATGTTTACACTGGCTTGCCGAGCAGCGCCAGAGTATGTCTGCATTGGGGACTGTCACTGCACAGTGGACAGCGAACTTAGTGATTTCGGCAGCGGTGTGTATCACTACGAACCGCGGAGCGGCGAGTGATGATATGAGATGTATCCGGCGTGTGACGGTGTTGGAGAAAATTCGAGCTATGCCCTAGAACAGAGTGTTCTACTGTGAAGGGGGAGATCCTGAGCCATGCGTTCTACTTAGGCTCCATTCAGCGGTTTCTCTTCCTACCCCCCCCCTTTTCTTCTTATGTCTAGAAAGTTCTTCCATCCTGGCCTATCACGTGATCCCCCCTCCCCTCCAATGGTTGTTTTTTTTTTTGTTTTTTTGGAGACAAGTAAGGTAGAGAGAGAGGAACTCTAGGACGAGAAGTTGGGGAAGGCAGGTAACAAAAAAAATTCCTTTTGGGCGTGGCCAGTCAAAATTCGGTTTTGGAGTGTTTCCGTGAAGGTTCGGGACGAGGAATGCCATATTGGCGTTTTCTGGGGGCTATATTTACATTTTTGCTTGGCAATATTGGATCTGTATTTTTCTTGTATTATATTGTATTCTATTATTTGTTTGCTAGAGAGGAGTAGTAGCTAAACTGGAGTGCTCTAGCTCCAACCCCCTAAGTGGGTGTGTTCACTAATATTACGCGACGTGACTGTTGCAAGGTCACAATATTGGGTCTGTATTTTCTTGTATTATATTGTATTCTATTATTTGTTTGCTAGAGAGGAGGAGTAGCTAAACTGGAGTGCTCTAGCTCCGACCCCCTAAGTGGGTGTGTTCACTAATATTACGCGACGTGACTGTTGCAAGGTCACAATATTGGGTCTGTATTTTCTTGTATTATATTGTATTCTATTATTTGTTTGCTAGAGAGGAGGAGTAGCTAAACTGGAGTGCTCTAGCTCCGACCCCCTAAGTGGGTGTGTTCACTAATATTACGCGACGTGACCGTTTCAAGGTCGCAATATTGGGTCTGTATTTTCTTGTATTCTATTACTTGTTTGCTAGAGAGGAGTAGTAGCTAAACTGGAGTGCTCTAGCTCCGACCCCCTAAGTGGGTGTCTTCACAAATATTGCGCGACGTGAGTGTTTCAAGGTCGCAATAGTTGATCTGGACAGTCCAATGTATTGTACTGTATTCTATTGTATTTGTCCTATTAAATTTTGTTACTTGGAAGTTTTAGAGGGCCACTGTAAATACTGCTTAGACATCCCTTAATATCTCGGGAGGTATTAAGAACGCAACAGCTAGAACTTGGAGACGGAAGTGGCGTCTCCCCCTTGGCAGGAGAAAAGGTAAAGAGGGGAGGGTCAGGTCAACAGTGCAGGAATGGAACGGTGGGTTATTCCTCTGCAGGCAACAGCCAATTTCTTCCAGGATCCACCATAGCCCTGGGTCTGTTTCTTTGGCTGACCATAGTGCCTTATGGTTAGACGCCCTTCCCTATGCCACTTCTTCAGTGCTCTGCAAGTTTCCACTGCAGCCTCTTCTTTTGGAACCTTCTCATGCTCTGCCTCAGACTGTATCTCCAGTTAGGTTCGCTCTTTACTCTCCAGACAGGCCTCTGTCGCTTGTTAGCAGGCCGTTGTCTCATTACACCAGGCCCTCATTTCTCCTAGCCAGACACCCATCTTGGCCACATACTTTTCAATGATGGCTAACAAGACGTTCAAAATCCGCCACAATTATCTATCTTCTGGGTTCAAATCTGACAGTCCACAATTCACAAAGTCCAACAACTAGTTGTCAAGTTCTAATGCAGTTTCCAATCCAACAATTTCTGACACCAGACTGTTACACGATTTTGGGGTGTGACTATAGATGGGTATGGACTATGTAAGATTTGAGGCTTTTGAACTATGGACTGACGAATGGATTTATTGACCACTTGTATACGGCACTCAAAACTACACGTAATTACAGTGCTATTGCTAATCTCCACCCTTTACAAATCACGACAGCACCCACTAAGCCTTTCTCCAGTCTGCTGTGTCTTCAACAGCCATTCCCTAACAATGCCTTCTAATAGTGGAGAGTCTTCAGCTTCCCGCGCTCACTTTATTAATGTCCACTGGTTAACATTCCACAACTGAACTTCCAACTGAACTGTAATGTCAACTGTCTTCAACTCCTTGGCATGGACCATGCAGAAAACACAGGGCCTCTATTGTTGTAGAGGCAATGGTTGTGGCATGGACCACATAGAAAACACCGTTCTTCTACTGTTTCATAGTACCTAGCAATGGCCGCTGTTTACAGAGTCACTGCTTAGCAATAGGTCTATATGCCACAATATTTATTACTTTCAACAGTAAAGCAGTCTCAATGCAGACTGGACTGTGAATGAGCTAGCATAATCTACTTCATTGTTTCAATGACCTCACTAAAGGTTTGGCCACACAGAGCGCTACGCTATGTTTGCTACGTGCGCTGTGTACACTCAATGACGCAGCTAACATAGGGAACATAGCGTACGTAGCGTATGGAAGTCTGTGTGGCCAGTCACATTGGCAATAAAGGGAGATATTTTTCTGTTCGTATAGCGAACATAGCCGTACATAGCGTGTGTCATGTACATAGCACTCTGTGTGGCCGAACCTTAACAGGGACAATTAAATAAGTACATATGTCATTCTAGTCATTCTTCATATATTTTGTCACAGACCCAAAGTTTCAACACCACTAATGCTAAATGACTTAAACTGAACATGATACTAAGCCAGTTCCATATACCTCCCACCACCATCTGCTTCCATAAAATCATTCTTAACATTAGTTTCCCATCTACTTCTCAGCAGATATTTTCTAAGATGGTTTCCCACCAAAACTGGTAAGAATGCCTTGCCATTCTACAAGTTAAAACTTCAAATGGAGAGTATAATAAAGGGACCATGATACTGTGTACTTACTGATGTCACACATGCAGCTTTGAAGACCCTGGGTCTCACAGTATGGCATACACTTCCCCCTACGACACTGTCCTCTCTCCAGGCAGGGTGTTCCATCTGTCATTGCTAAACTACGTGGACACTCTGAAGAAGCTCCTGTACAGCGTGATTCCTGTTCACAAGTCGCTGGCTGTGCGTCACGACATTTCATCTGCCCTGGCATAAACTGACAGTTCTGGCAGCATGGGGAATTCTTGTCACTGCACACAGCTCCCTGGTTGCGACGCAGCTTGCAGTTCTTATCACAGCAGGCATCATTGTCTTCTGTACCCAGTAATCCTGCATCACACTCCTCATCACCTTCCACACGCAGGTTGCCACAGAAGGATTCTTCTGGTTCAGAGAAACAGCGCCCCGATTTGGCCTGCAGTACTTTGCGAATTGATCGCAAACTGCATGGTGAAAAGCGCTGGAGGAAAAATGTCAAGTTCACTAACCTGAATCACACAAAATTTACTACATTCTTAGGCAAAAATTTTTATGGGGCCATATTCATTCCTTTGTCACATCACCATAATTCTTGTCAGTCACAGTCTTTCACGAGAGATGTGTCGAAATGAAGACGACATATTTGCAATTAGACAAATCTGTTCAGCATAATTTTTAGATACATTCTTTTAATTTTTCATATGTCATTGTCCTCAATGTTCACTTAATACAGACAAAAATCTACTGGTGTCTGTAACAATAAATCTGTATCAGTAATAAATGAACATAAAATCAAATATATAAGTAAAATGATGATAATTACACTACTGATAGCACAATGCATACAATTTTCAAGTTTCAGTTCTAGATCTTAGTGATATTTAAACCTTATGTTATGTACAAACTCTTTATGCATGCAGCCATTTTTAACAGTATAAATTTCATTGAAGTGTGCAGTCCCCTGGGTTGTAACATGTGATTCTGCTGGTTTTTTCCTTGACTTAACCTTAAACCCTGAAAATGGGGGCAGTATGTTCCTAAAAATGTTGGATGGTTTCCAAATTACATGGTGTTACAACCCAGAATATTGAATCCTTCACAGTCACAGCCTCACTTTTGAGAACCTAAAATACAAGAAGTCTGGCTTAAGTTACTTACGTAGGTGGCACCATAGCTCAAGTGGTTAGTCACTGGCTTCCCATCGCGGCAGCCCAGGTTCAATCCTGGGTCTGGTCAAGTGGGATTTGTGGTGGACAAAGTGGGGCTGGGGAAGGTTTTCTCCGAGAACTTCGGTTTCCACTGCCAATCTTCATTCCACCAATTGCGCCACAATCACCCTCACCTATCACCTAGGGCTGGTACAATAGGCCAGAAGTGGCCGCAGTACAAGGGACTTAGTCCCACCCGAATAGCAATAAAAAAAAAATTTATGTAGGAATATTTCCTCAGGTGACAAGAAGAAACAGAATGAGAAATGAAATTATGCAAAGAAATGGACGTTCCTTCATCAGTAATAACAAAAGTAGAAAACAGATTGCTAAAATGGTATGGTCATATTGAATTAAGTAAGGAGAAAAGATACTGTGTTTCAGTGGCCACTACTAGGCAGGCAGAGACCTACACATAAGCACAAAACACTAATTAGGTACAATACAGTCCAATACAGATCAGGGTTTTAAATATGGAGAGTGGAAGAAGAGATTACTCTGGAAAATGAAGATAGAAACCCACGAAGGAATAAAGCCAAAAAGAACAAATTTTGATGTTAACTTTATATAACACTGGGTTTATAGCAGACTTATTGGATATAAAATTAAATTCATTAGACAATTTTTAATGTATCCCCTGCCCCACAATGTAAAATTTCATCAAAATCAGCCGAACGGTTTCATAGATCAAATATGATGACTTTGATGAAAATGACTTCACAATTACCTTTTCATTCTCTGCACTTTGTACAAGGAATGTAGCAAACACATATGCTACAGATTCCAAAGCAACTTGCTGGAGTTCATGCTAACCTGAGACATAATATGTTTAGTTCAAGAAGTCAATCTGTAACACTAAGTAAATTCTAGTTCACACATAAACTCAGCTCACCTTATTATTGATATCATACCCACTAACACTGTATGTGTACATGAGATAGGAGCCCCCTTGACTTGCACTGGGGCTACATTCTGGAATATCAGGATCATGTTCAGAACCCCAATTGTGACCAAACTCATGGGCAGTAACAAGATCGGCCTCTCTTGTTATAACTCTCTGTCCATAGTGGTTCCGACTTGAGCTCAGGCCTGAGTTCAGATACAACGTGTATCCATTCTTGAAGTACTCTGCAACATCATACAACTTCTGAGATAAATACCTGCAGTCCACAGCTACCTTACAATCCAAAACTCATACTTATCCCATTTAGGCTTAATATATCATGCAAGGGTTCAATAATTCACCTTGTAAACTAATTAATTAATTAATGAGAAAAGTCTGGGTTCTCAGATCTACAGAACAATGAACAACATGCATCAAGAACACTTTGACTTATGAAACACCCTCTACTTATAGCCTTATTTTCTAAACAATTCTTTTTGTAGATTAATTGATAACAAGCTTATTAACTTACTGACTCATGATTTAACTGTCACATTTACAAACATGCTGACTGAAACTGAATATGAGCATATCAGAAGTTCAATGCAAGATTGCACATACAATGTGTTCCAATCTGGGTTTGAACTGACAAATGTTCATGGCCATTTTCAAACAGTATTTCTGGAAATGTGACAGGTAAATCATAAGTCAGTAAATTAATAAGCTGGTTATCAATGAGCACACAACACTTATATTTTAAAAGCATAAATAACAGACTGTACTCCACTTTATATGACCTACTGGAATAAATTAAAAAAAAAAATGGTGCCCATCTCTTGCATCAACGGTACACTACCATCCCCAGTTGATGAATAATACTGCATTTAATTTCATAATTCATGCCAATGTGCATTCCAAAACCTCATTTATATTGCATCCTTAGAAACAAAATAAATTGTCATATATTCCAATCATAAATATGAAAAAATTACATCAAAACATTTTGTCACCAAAGTCTCAAGGGAACAGCTGCAAATATAAAATTCAAAGCAAACATGAAGACAGTATTATTTAACAAGGTTTGCAATTCAAAGCAAACATGAAGACAGTATTATTTAACAAGGTTTGATACCTTCTTCCAGCCATGTGAATTCAAAAATTAGATGGTGAACACTGCCACGAGGAAATGTGATTGCAACATCATGAAGATTGAATTCATATATAAAGGGCTTTAAATCTTATAAGAAAGCTTCTTTTTTATTATCAATTAATCTAGTGCAGGTACTATTCAGAATTCTTGAGAAAATNTTATAACCCTATGCGCAAATCAGTTCACTCTGTCTTCAGTGGTCTACACGTTTACAGTAGGGGAGCAAGGTATCACTGTATCACACGCTATATATTATATATATAATTATCAATTAATCTAGTGCAGGTACTATTCAGAATTCTTGAGAAAATATTTCACTTTCATGGATAAGTCAATTACTTATATTTTCTATGACATTATTTCATAAATCTTTGTGTAACTCACATGTCCAAGCCCATTCACAAGATTAAGAAATGCATGATTAATGCAATGAAATGCAGTATTCTAATTAATAAGACTAAGAGCCTTAAAAAGGATTGAGTGATTTTTGATTTTATACAACAATGAACAATGTGATTCTTAGGATACTGAAATCTATGAAGCTGAGATGGCCCCACATGCTGCTAGGATGAGGGAGATAAATGCATACATAAGTTTTTCTAGGGAAATATCTACTAGAAAGAATGACAGAGGGATGAGGGGATAACATTATGTTGGATCTTAAAAGGGAAATACCTGTAGGCTGTCAAGAAGAGAAGCAGATGGAATTGGCTTGGGACTGTGTGAAATGGCAGGCTCTGATATCACCAGCATTAAACCTTCATAAATTGGTTCTGCATCACAGCCACAAGAGGGTCAGTATGGGTTTTATAACTTTAGTATTTTCTTTCTCTACCAGTACCGAAAACAATGAACAGCTGAGTGTTTCACAGAAGTGAAAGCATATACATCATGAAGTCTCTACTGTGTACACAGTAGCTACATCTACAGTGCTGTGATGATGCTATGAAAGTATTAGCTTCAGGAATGTCCATGCATAACTAGTCTACGGATTCTAGTTCTGAAATCTTCCTAAGCACATGACAGAGACTGAGGCCCACCACATGTCTGGCTAACCTGGTGTGCAGATGCCACCAACAGAGTTGCGCCGGGGAGATCCAACATATGCCAGTCCCAGTATCCCACCCTCAAACTTGAGATCAGTGAACAGGTGTGCTAGGCAGAAGTCCTTGTGGCTGTACTCTCGACTGAATACCTAGAGAGCAAGCACACATCCCCAGCACCACAACCACTAGTTTATAACCCAATCCACAGAAAATCAGGACACAGAACATTTTCAACATACTAATATGATGCCAGAAAACTGGACTACTGGAGCCAGGGAAGACGTCCACTGTTAGGCAAAAAGCTAGGTAAACATGTTTCCATGGAAATGAACACACATGCAACAATAGAAGCAGTGATGGAAGCAGCATTTTCTATGTGGTCCATGTCAAGACTATATAATGATGACCAATGGGACAACCAAATGAGTCATGAGTTGGCACTTGCAGTTGGTGGTTAGATGTGAGCACAGGAGTAGAGGAAGCTTGAGTGTTAGAAGCTGCTACCTTACAATGACTACTGAAGATATAACAGATTGAAAGGATTTAATGTGTGCTATAGTAATTTGTGGAGTGTGTAGATTAGTAAAGAGTATTATTATTTGTACTTAAAGAGTCATGAACATTAAATAAATTCAGTATCGATCTAAACGCTGTATGTAGTCACTAATACATGACAATATGTTACTTTGATCACAATGTATTAAATGTGTAGCTAGTATATTAACACATTGCGGACCGGACGGGCCATATGGCCCTCTACGTTTCCAAGCGTTGCGGACCGGGCGGGCCATATGGCCCTCTACGTTCACGTTATGTTGCAAAATGCTATATATTGCTCTGTGGCTTCGTTTAATCGTAACTACTGCGTAGATGACCTCGGGAATAATTGCTGCCTTATCTAGTAACTCGACCAGAGTCGTTTCCTGTCACAACCTAAACAAAATTGGCTTTGTTCTAATCCAAGCTTGCACGTATCAACCACGCAGCTACCAGTTCAACATGGCTCAGAGACGAAAGCAGTTGCGATCTCTCGGAGGACAGGAAATATTAGATATGTTCTCCGATGAGCTATCAGATTTGCCAACTGCTTCGTCTTCTGATAGCGAGGCCATTATCAGTGACAGTGACAGTGACGGGGGCCACAGGGCTGCCCAAAATGTGTCAAGTGAAAGTGAGAGCTCCGTTGAAAGTGTGAGTGTCGGGACAGCAATACCTACTTTCAAGGAAAGTACGTATTTGTGGTACAATTAGGGTGAACAGAGGCCTCCCTCCAGATCTGAAAGAGGAATGTAAACGCCTGAAACGTGGCGACACCGCATTCAGGAGGAAGGGGGACATTCTTCTTCAGTCCTGGAGGGATACTCGCATTGTGAATATGGTTTCCACTATTCACAATTCGAGCATGGTCGATGTTCAAAGATGACACGGGCAAGTAAAGAAGCCTCTTTGTATTTCCGAGTATAATATGTTCATGAAAGGAGTTGATAGGGCCGACCAGTTCTTGGCCTATTATTCCCTTCCTAGGAAAACAGTAAAATGGACGAAGAAAGTTGCACTGTGGCTTATAAACTGTGCAATTTTCAATTCATTTATGGTTTTCAAAAAGGTGAACAGAAATTCTATTTTGAAATACAAAGCATTTCTGTTGAAACCGGCAAAAGCTTGGGCTACTGACGTCACAGTGGCGGCAGTACCTGCGTCAGACAGAGACGTAGTGCAGCCGGGGCCATCTGTTCGCACCCGCCGGAGGCCTCAAGTAGACCCGCCTGGCCGACTCTCGGGTGATATGCGGAAACATATTCTCGTGAAAATTGTGAAGAGTGAATATTGCAAGAAGAAACACCCTTCTAGGCAGTGCCGTGTGGAGGCAGAGCACAAGAAGAAGAGTACAACTGCCTAAATGTGCAAATTCTGTGTAATGCCTCTTCACAAAGGGGAATGTTTCCAGAGATATCACACGCGCAAGCACTTCTAGGAGCTCTGGTAAGTGTTCTCCAAAAATTTCAGTTCATAAAATTAATTAGGAGATTTTATATTAATTTTTAAAGTGAACAGTGCACAAGTTAGGGTAGTAGGTTTAAAAACGCTGGTCCCCAGGGTGATTTAAATGTTTAAACCACCGGTCCGCAATGTGTTAACCCAGTAAAAGTTCTCTTTTCTCCACTGCATGCATTGTTACATTTACATTTCTTCTAATGGAAAAGAATGACCATCTGTTCTTCCATTTGTATTACCTTCCCCCATTTTAAACTGAAAAGAGATATTAATGAAATTATGCCTGCTACAACAAATAAGCTTATAGTATTATAAGTTTCCAAAAAATAATAGCCATGTTAAACAGGGTTTTCATTCCACAACTTCACAGGTAGGTTGGTTACAACAAATGGACAGAGATAGAATGTGTAACAGAAAACTTTTTTGGAAACCTAGGTATATATTAGGAGATTACTAAATTGTATCTTAGAAAGAAACAAAATGTTAATTTATAATTACTTTGGAGAGGCCTTAAATTAAGTGCAGAAGGGGCCAATGACTAACTACAGAAGACAAAAAAATCAATTTTTTGTCGTTTTTTATATTCACAAATAAAATTTTGGTGTCACTTAAGGTTTAAGGCACTAATATAATTGTAAGTCTTGCACGCGTGTCTAATCTCTGGCTATCTCACGAATCCCAGTTCCACTTAGCTCTAAACCATGATCAGAAGGCCCTTGGGGTCTGACAGATCCAAGGGGAAATTAAAGTGAAAGTTGTTGTGTGAAAACCTAATTTGAGAAATAAACATAAAAATTGTCAGAAAGCCTGTTGAAAGTAAAGTATTTCTACTGCATCTAAAGTGCTAATGTAATTTGATAAAATCTTAATTCAGAATCTACTAATACACCAACTGCATGCATTATGTTATAATCCTGAAAGAACTGCTTAAAATGATGGCTAATAAATACTGCTATATAACCAATCATCAGTAAAGAAGACAGAGGATAGATTCCTCCTTGTGTTAGCGTTGGGGGGCACGTGGTAGCGTAGTGGTTAAGGCACTATGCTACAAGTTGGAAGGTTGCGGGTTCAAATACCGATGAGGTCATTTATTTTTTCGGCCGCATTGTGGCCGAGGTTCACTCAGCCGCTAACAGAAATGAGTACCAGGAATTAAATGAATAATTTTCCTGGGGAGTAAGTTGCGGCCGGCATGTAAGGCTGACAACCTTACCGCCATCTTTGAGCCGATTGTCTAGATAATGTGGGACCCTCAACGTCTCACAACCCTATGGGCCTTCATGGCCTGTTACAGGAATAGCTTTACTTTACTTACTTTTTGTGTTAGTGTTACATATAACCAGTCATCAGTAGAGAAGATAGAGGACAGATTCCTCTTTGTGTTAGTGTTACATATGTAGGGCAGTCAAAATGTTCCTGGAATTCCCCTGCAGACGGAGAATGAGCGATAAGATAGCGCACATACTGTTGTGGTGGGAAGCTCAGCATGTCTGCTCGCAGGCGCAACAGGTCTGGACAGGTTTCAGTGTGCAGTTCAGTTACTGTTCCGTTTGAATTAGACGTGAGTGCTGGTCATTCGGTGCAATGTCGCAGTTCGAACAGCGTGCAAACATCAAGTTGATGTGCAAATTGGGAAAATCTGCAACAGAGACGCTATCAGCCCTGCAGCAAGTTTACGGTGATACTGCACTAAAGAAATCTGCAGTTTATGACTGGTTTTCCCGGTTTAAGAATGGGCAGGAGATGTTAAAGGATGACCAGCGCAGAGGGAGACCTTCGACATTCAGAACCGAAGAAATGATTGGAAAAGTGTGACAACTGATTCGATGTGATCGAAGAATGACCACTGCGAGTTGGAGCAAGAAATTGGTACTGTTACTGGCCATTTCTACGTGCAAGTTTTGCAGAGGTTGTGCGATGCGGTTCGGAGGAAGCGGTGTGAAAAGTAACAGGGACAGTGGTTTCTGCATCATGATACCGTATCAAGCCACACATCGCTTGTAGTGCAGCAATTCCTCACCAAGAAAAACATACCTGTCATCACTCAACCACCATACTCTCCGGATCTCGCTCAGAGTGACTTTTGGCTGTACCCTACTCTGAAAATGGGCCTCAAGGGGACACATTCCGCAACCATGGAGGACATCAAATCGCATATGATGGCTGAGCTTTGGAAGATTCCAAAAGAAGCCCTCCACTGCTGCTTCCAACAATGGCAGGATCGACAGAGCAAGTGTGTGCGTGTGCAAAGGTCCTACTTTGAAGGCAATTAGGTAAGCATTGCCATATGTCCTACCATTAGAGTGCTATACCACATTCCAGGAACTTTTTGACTCCCCTCGTATAACCAATCATCGGTAAAGAAGACAGAGGACAGATTCCTCTTTGTGCTAGTGTTATAAAGTTAGAAACACAATCATAGTATGAAAATGCCAGTCTGATTTCTTCATATAATCCTACGAGGTCCAAAGTTTATCTAAATGATGTTTAAGTATTTGGTGCTTGCGGTAGCATAGTTGGTTGAGGCACTATGAGTATGTTACAAAGCCGAAAGGTCGGGTGTTCGATTCTTGATGTCAGAGGATTTTTCAGTTGATTTAATCAGTCCAACAACACTATGGCCCTGAGGTCAACTCAGTCTCTAACAGAAATGGGTACCAGGAATCTTCCTGGGGGTATAAGGCAGCCAGCACGTAGGGCAGACCTCACCACCATCTGTGAGGCGACTATCTAGAAAATATTGAAGCCTCAATGTCTCACAGCCCTATGGGCCTCCACGACCTATTACAGTGACAGCTTTACGTTTGTTAAAGAATTCAGTTCCTGTGTCACAGAAATTACAATGCATCTCTATTATAAAGACCAACAATTTCATTCTGTTTATGGAAATAATTGCTGCTTATTCTTAGACTCATATGAAGCACATAAATAATGTGAGAAAAATTAGTTTTTTATTTTTAATATTAAAGCAGGTGGCACATACAGGACCCCTGCGCTTCAAAGTGCTAACTGAGAATATGGGGTCCTGGACAGCAATAACATTTAGCCACATCTTTACCACGAAACCTTAAGATTTTACACATAACATCTTATGCAATAAATGAATCTAGAAGAGAAATTACGGGGAACGCGGTAGCATAGTTGGTTGAGG